ATAGTCAGAAAAAAAAAAAAAAAGACTCAGGACTTAGAGAAAGACTTAGGTTTCGGTTCTTTGCCCCCATATTCCCTCCCACCTGCATCACTCTCCATGTGCCTGCCCCCAGCAGCCACCATCACCTTTGAACTCTTATCCTTTGGTGCTCAGAAAGCCTTCCCTGACTGTTTTGACTTGGTCAAATCTCTATAATATAATCCTACCATAACCAAGAACCTTTCATAAGGAGTACTTTTAAGAGGTGAATTTTTACATTTGTTGTGTAGTGATCTGATTAACTCCATGAGGTCAATAACCCTGGTTTTATTAATCACACGCACTCATACACTTGCCCCTGAGCTAGCATTGTTGGTTGGCATACCACCTGTGCTCATCAAATGTATGAAAAAGAGTCAGAAGGAAGGAAATCCTGGCTTTGACACGGACTGGGCTGTAAAGTCACTCGGTCTCTCTGTATCCTCATCTGTAAAATGGAGATGATAATGCCCATTTTCCAGGGCTGTTATGAGAATTAATTAAATAATCAATGACATACTGCGTTATAAACTGTAAAGCGAATAATATTTTGATATAAGGTAAAAAGCACTACAGCAGTCACAAATGAAAACACAGAGCTAATGCAGGACAGGTGATTAACTCCCTCCCTTCTGAACTGGGGCAAAGAATGAATCAACGAAGACTTAATAGGGAAGGTGATATGTGGCTGAGGAATGAGGAGACTTTAATAAGTAGAGACAACACCTACTTTCTACATTTACTTGAGAAAGAGAAAGCATGTGTGTGTTGACTCCCCACTAGAAGATCGCTCTGTAAGGACAAGGATTTCCATCTGTTTTGTTCCTAGTTATAGTCCCAGTGCCTATACCAGTGTCTGGTGCATGGTTGGTGGGCAGTAAATACTAACTGGATGAAAACATAAGTGAATGAATGCATGCATGAATGTAGGGGAGAAGGAATTATCAGAAGAAACTTTATGGGTAAAAGCATGCACAAAATAGTGTCTCGTTCCAGTGGAAAGTGGTCCTGGTGTGGGAAGCATGGGCTGTGACAGACTAAGGGACAGAGGAGGAGCGGGGAAGAGAGGAGGTAAGGGACCCTGTGAACACAGATGCCACCGCCTGACAAGAATACTGGTGGACTGGCAGACTTTAAGATGCCATTTGCATGGTTGATTTATAGAGTTTCTAAGTTTTTGAACTAACCCTCCTAGCCCTGACATCTTTAATTGAAACTGAAGCGAAAATGCTCCCCATTAAAATATCAAACTGAAGTGCCTTGAGTCAGGCCACATTGCTAATCATCTCCAAGTTCTCCTCTGCACATCATGGGTCTTTGACAACATGTAACCTACAATGACAATGAAGAGAAAAATGTGTTTGTAATTACAATAAAGACGGAAGCTAGGAAAATCATCAGGAGCATCTGAATTCAAAACAACGAATATAAATCATGTTGTTTGCATAGAAATGTGGCATTGCTACTGATATTGGTTAAAATTCAGGAGTAGATGAATAATGAACAGAATGCCACTTGAAAAGTATAAAATAAAAACCTAATACTTTTATCTTATGAAAAAATCTCTCAGAGTACCTATTAGGAGAAGAACTGAAAATAAACTGTGTACTGAAGACTTTTAGTCAGTACATCACAGTCTTTTTTTTTTTTTAATGTCAAGAAATGACTGCCTAATCAGTATCTGTGATAATGATCTGTAATCTTACCAGCTTGAGACTGACGATAAATTGCAAGCACTGATTTTTTAATAACATGAAGAACAGATATACAACACATTTTCAGGTAGGAATCATCCAGTCCTCCTTAATGGGAAGTCATTATAGTCCAGCCATTGTAATATAATTCAAATAAAATCTTTTTTAAGGTGTCATTTTAATGCAAATAACTAGCAGCAAACTTTTAAACTATTGGTGCCCAAAGCTTATTTTTATCTAAGTCTCAGATAGGAAGAATGTTTGAAATAATTGAGTTCTTCTCTAATTACATCATAAAGACTAATTTAGAACCTCATTTATTTGGAGAGTCTCTGGCATGGCAAATCTATTTAAAATGACACACAAGAGCAGGTAATTAAAAATTAAAGTTGAAATCAAGATGGAAAAGGCAAGATTGAAGCTAGCTTAGACTGCTCTGATTAGCTGTGGAGGGGCAGTGAAATTCTGCAGGGGCTTGATAGACTGTCAAAGATGCAAAGGAAGAGGCAGGATGATGGAATGCAGCTCCCAGGGGCACCAAAGCTTTTCTGAGTCTTTCCAGTATATGTCCAGTTGCAAAGCTAGCTACATGCAACTAGGAGAGATCACCTGGCTGAGTATGGTTGAGAGCTGGAGATTCCCAGTTAAAAGAAAACCTTTCCCCAGGTCTGTTGTCCCAAAAAGGAATGCCAGGCTCATGGGTAATTAGGAAAAGGTACATCATCCAGATAAGCGAAACCATGAGACATGGGAGCACCTTGTACATAGCAAGCTCTTTTGCATAGAACACTTATAGAATGGCTTGAGCACACGCATACACACACACACACACACACACACACACAAAGTAGTCTTTGATAATACATTTTACAGTTTGCAGATGCCTTTTAGGTACACAATCGCACTTTGTTCTCACACTAGCCCTGTTTTACAAGTGGTGAAATTGAGATCCTGAGAAGTTATGTAACAAGCCTGAAGTGCTAGGACAAGAAATCAAAACTTTGGCTCCAAATCCCCAAACACATCATGTCCTCATTTAGTAACACTCTTTTTGTTATTCGCTCTTAGTGGATTTTTTTCTCTTTTCTCCCTCTTCATTTTCCTCTTACCTATTTTCCTCCCTTCCTTTTCCATTTCCTCTTATTCTTGTCTGTGCCATGACTCTGCCAGCAACTCAGAGAGCACAGCTCAGCTGACCAGATCATCTCAGATCTGAAGAGATTGCTGATGCACTCTGAAAGGCAGAACATGGTTCTGTTTCTACCGCAACAAAAGCATTACCCTCCAAGAACTAGTTGAGGATGTATGGGGGTACTTGTAGAGTACAGTTAAATTAGCTTCATGCCAGAAAATAAAAATCTGATAGATTCTTAAGTTCACGTGGAGGGGCTGAGCTATAAAAGGACCCAAGATAGAGTCTTCCACAGATACTCATCCCCCTGCTCTGAGCCTCAGAAAGCAAATTTTACCCCTGCCCTCAAAAGGCAATCAGGCTATGTGTGAGAGGGCCACTCATAACGCCTTGCTAAATCTGGATTCTTCTCCCTCAGATTATAAATATACACCGTCTGAGCTGTAAATCAAATGTCTAGGTCTCTATTTCTCTCCTAAGGACCAAGTGAACAAGTGAGCTCACAAATGGAAGTGAAAACTAGTTACGGCAGCTTTTCTCCAAGTGTGGCCCCTTACAAGAATCTTTAGCATCACTTGAGAACCTGCTAAAATGCAAATTCTTGAGTCCCAATCCCCAAATCTAATAAACTAGAATTTCTGGGAGTGGGACCTAGCAAGCTGTTCTGATAAGTCTCTCTAGATTATTCTGATGCCAATTGAAGTTGGGGAACCCTGGTTTAAATACAGTTCAATGGAAAAGCCCTTGACTAGGAGCTAGGACTCATGGGACTTAGAACAAGCATTTGTTCTAGGCCTGGGAACCAAAACCTTTTATCATTCGTAAAACCACTCTTTTAACGATGCTAATTATCCGCAAGTGTGTTGACTTAGAACCTCTGTTATTAAATCTATACTGAATAAATGCGAAGAAGAACAAGGAGTAGAGGTGAGTTAGCTGCAATCACCCTCTAAGAGCAGCTAACGACCTCCCTAATCCACCCGATTGACTGCATTGTGTGCGTGAGTATTTTATTCATCCATTGCTGAGTCATTACTACTTTACAGACCTCTGCAAGTAGTAATCAGTGTCTCAGGTGGTGACCACGATGTGATCAATACCACAGCTGGTGCCCCATGTGAGGAGGCCAATGTGATTGACGCTACAAACTGGGGGTGCAGCAATCAACAAGCCAGAAATGGTCACTTCCTTTGAGAAGTTGACAGTCCTGCAGGAATGATGCACATTGTCTAAGTCCTATGAGCGCTGGGAGGAATTGGTATGGAAGCAAACACAGGGAAACTCACCCAAAGCCAGGGTCTTGTATTAACAGAAAGAGGCAATGACCTCAAGGGCAAGATGGCTGCATTGTTTACCTTAGCGTATATGCAGAATGCAACACGCACCCATCAATAAGCTGGGAAAAAGAGCATCCTCCTCAGAGGAATGCTCCCCACCCCTCGCCTTCTTTTCCTCTGGAGTCACTCCAGTGCAGGGAGTAGGATATATTAGGATTCGAGAGGAAGGTTGAGTGTGAACTTAGTAGCCTAAAGCCTGACTTGACTACTTCACATCACCTATTATTTTTAGCTATTAACATGGTTGTTCCCCGCTCTAGCATTCACAAAACTCACAACTTTAAAAGAAATATCTTGTGAAATAGCTCTTCTTAAACCTCACCATCCACAACTTTTTAATTTAACCTTTATTTTAAGGTCAGGGGTACATGTGCAGGTTTTTTTAATATAGGTAAACTTGCTTCATGGGAGTTTGTTGTACAGATTATTTTGTCACCCATGTATTAAGCTTAGTACCCATTAATTGTTTTTCCAGATCCTCTCCCTCCTCCCACCCTCCATCTTCTGACAGATGTGTGTTGTTCCCTTCTATGTGTCCATGAGCTATCATTTAGCTCCCACTTATAAGTGACAACACACAGTATTTGATTTTCTGTTCCTGCATTAGTTTGCTAAGGATAACGGCCTCAGATCCATCCATGTCCCTGAAAAGAACATACACAAATTATTGAATTCCTGCTACATGCAAGGCTGTGATGGAACCTGAGACTAGAGCCTCCACCTGCTACCTGTCTTGTGCACATCTCCCCCCAGCCATCCCATAATACATTGTCCAGAAAAAAAGGGGGGCACCAGCTACATAACCAGGTACACACTTACTGTTGTCCTCAGCAACACAGTGTCTGCTTCATGCAAAGAACATGGGATACAATGTGCCCATACGTGCCACGCTGGTCTCCAGTAAAACACGAGGGGGAGGATTCCAAATGAGAAGATGGATCCGGCAAGGCAGAGAGTTTTCCGGCAGCCTTGAGTCCGATAGCCAAATATTTCCTGGGACAGAATCAAAACGACCCCAAATATTGGTTAAGCACAATAAACAATCAATGAGCAAATACTGATGTTAGTGATGGAAATGGGGGCAGAGAATGAAGGAGTTGAGGAGGGTGAGGAGAGGGCAGGGTGAAGGATGGAGAGAGTAAAGAAGGATTCTTGACAAAGAAATATAAGACATGATTCCAGGAAGCAAGGAAGTCACAGTCTAACTAGAACTTAAGTTTCTGTAATTTGAGCACCCAACTACACTGTGCCAAGCACTATGCTAAGTGTTTAGACATGTTGTCTTGTTTAATTCTCCCAATCATCCCTATCTCTATATTTTCACTGAAGTGAGATAATCATCCTCATTTCATATATGGTGGGACTGAGCTTAGAGGGGTAGAATGAGACGACTTGCCCAAAGCCACACAGCTAGAATGTTCCACTACTAAGATTCCAACCCAGGTCTGTCAGCCTGCTAGCCAATGGCAGTACCAAGAGATTCCCTTGGCTGGGACTGGCAGTCACAGGAGAGGAAGAGAAAAGAACCAGGCCTTGAGTTCTGAGTCAAGGATTGGGTGAAAGTATTTGACCATAAGAGGATTGACAAGTAAATGCCAACTTGCCCTTGGGAGTTTGGGTAGAGTTGTGCCTTCCCACATTCCTTCCTCATTCAGTAACAAAAAGCATTTTATGTCTAGGGGAAAACACCATAGAGACTATCTGGTTTACTTCAACTCATTCTACTGGGCACTGATGCATTATGAGAGGATATAATTAGACCCCAGACGATATAAACTAGACAAGATAAGAATCTCGCTTCTAATGCGTGTATAATCTGGACAAATGTCTTCCTTCCAAGGAAGTCCTGAGATAGAACAGAAAACCACCCCTGAAGTTTATGGTCTTAGTCCCACAGCTTTATCCCATGAAGTGTATCCCATGGGTACACTTTATACTGGTTATGAGGGCTAAAATTGAGAGGTACTAGAGTGTCCTGGTTAAAAGCACATTCTGTGAACCAAGACTCTTTGGGTTCAGAGACTAGCTCTGCCACTTACTAGGTGTGTGATTTTCAGTAAGTTATTCAACCTCTTTATTCCTCAGTTTGTGTTCCACAAAATGGGATAGTAACTGTATCCATGTAACAGGGCTGCTATCTTATGTAAGCATTTACTACGGCTGTTGCTGCTATTACTTGATCACATCCCTGCAATAGACCTGAAATTCTATCCCCCAGTTTATTGGCAGTTAGGTACAAGAGTTCCTAGTGTCAACAGTTCTGCTCTTGCTAGAATTGTCTCTTAGGATAACAAGGGAGCTGGAACATAAAACTTTAAATCTATCAACTTCTCTATTTCACCTGGTAAAGATTACATTGCCAGGAAAGGTTCTGTGATGCTTGGCTGAAGGCTGCTTTTGTGTGTAAACATTAGGTTCCTTCCAACACGTACAGGTGCTGAATGGCTTTCTTAGGCATTGTCCACTTTTGACATGACTTCGATAAAATGTTCTCGTTAACTTAGAAATACAAGCTCTGAACTAATTTTGCAAAGTAGAATGCATGTTCTGATATGAATACCCTTCTGCTCCAAGCTCAAGCTATGGCTCTGTCCCCTCATCACACTGGGAGCAACGCTGTCTTACTCCCACACTCAGCAGTACCCCAATCTTAATCTCCCTACTTGTCCTGAGTCCAGCTACCATTCTTTCCCATGTGCTTTTTCTGTGTTTCAATACTTTGGCATAGGTCAATTTCTACCCTCCAACCCAGCCATTTTTCACCCTTTTAAAATATTATATTTAAAAGTTTCCTTATATTGCCAGTCAGTTGAGCCCCCATGTAATGTAAAGTAAATATGCTTGAGTTACTCTGTTCTATGACAAAAACCTCTGTTACTATGCATTATTTTATGGGCTGTGCAGTGAGAGTTCTCTATATAGTTTCTGAAGTGTCTTTGTGTTCATTATCAAGATAAAGCAAACAGAAATTATCTTAATTCTCCATTTCGAAAACTATAAAGTTACTATATTATCTTTAATAGTAATAATAGTGATTATTAACAACTAATTATTGATGACAGTGCTAGCAGCTAACATTTATTGGGCACTTAAAAGCCTTTCACTAAGCACGTGATACATATTCTCCCATTTAGTTGAAAAAGATAAAATTTGTTTCCCAAGCCAACAAAGCTCATAACTAACTCAAAACCGGGTCTCCAGTCTAGACCTCTGCAGCACATGGAAGATAATGTGGGCTGGCTATTTCTACTCCAAGGCGCTTCTTTACTCTTTTATTTCAGTTCTACTTAACACATGTTTCTTACATGTCCACAAAATGGCAGGCATGTGCTAGATAAATGAGACTGTATCTCTGGTCTCAAGGAGCTCATTAGTTTAGTGGAGAAGAGAGACACACAAACAGCTTAAGATTAAAGAAGGTTAGATCAATAAAGGTTTACATAGAGAGATAACCATATAAAATTCTCACCTCAATGGGGTGCTACTAATAATAACACTGGGACAGCAGAAGCAGATGAGTGTGAAGAGAATGCTTCACTGTAATTTCCAGGCACTACAACCAATTGTTTTAGAATGCATTTCAATGGATTTACCTCGCTGCTCACCCAACCCAGGCACCTATTAAAATTCTTGCCTCTGTACAGTTTCTTCTTTGCCACTCTTTAGTACTAAAGGACGTTTCTCTAAGTTTCTTCCAAGTTAATTTGACTTCTAGATTCAGGTAAAAAATTCTCAACGTGAATGGCCTAATCTAGAAATCTTAAACAGGAGGCTCAAAAGGAATGACCTAAAGCCTGTTTTCTTCTTTACTTATTAAGGATTTCTTAAGACTTTAAATTGATCCCCAGTTATTTTCACATGAAAATTATGATTTATACTTTTTTCTTAAAAGAAACTAGAAATCTGACAATATTGTCCTCGCATTCTCACACTGCAAAAATCAGCTGGATTCCCAAGCAAGCCAAGGGAACCCTCCTTAGTTATACTGGAGTGTCGCTCCAAGAGCTCCCTGCTCTCAGTCTGGTGGCCAACACACCACCACTTAATTGTTCGTGACCATAACACATTGCTAAAGTTTCTGTAGAAAGGATGAAATAATGTCAACAAGCTGCGTTTAACTATTGCTTATCACGGCGAGTTGAACTGTACTAAGAAGTTGAAGCGAATTGCATTGCAAGGGACTATTAACGGATATTGGGTTTAAAATTGCAAAAATCAGCATAGTGCTGTTATTATCATCCCACAGCAATTCACGTCCTACATATATGGAGTGCTTTCTATGTCCCTGAGTATGCTGGAGGGAACTGTCCTTGCTACCCTGCCCTCCACCCACTCTTACCTCCCACAAAGACAGATCAGTTAGCTTTAAAAAAAAAAAAAAAAAAAACTGTAGGGAAAATGTCAACAGATTATTACACAAATAATAATTAAGCTCATGGCAGGCTACCATGGCAGGCTATGTGCATTATGGAATAGCACACTGTCCCTTTCTGTATCCCTTCCCTACCCACATATTCTTCTTCCTCTGTCCATGGGCATCCAGGTCCATTGCATCTCTAAGGGCTTAACCTTTGGCTTCCAGGTGCCCAGGCCTTCTTTACTTGTAGAGTTTCTATGCTCAAGGAGCCAAATTCTGCTCCTCAGAGCAATGCTTTAAACCATCTCAACTAACAGAACCTTCTCAGTATCTGTAGACCTTCTCCCCAAAGAAATACATACTTAACACACAAACATCTTCACAGATATTTAGGGAGGATCCCAGGGCCTGGAAAAGGTCCTGCTCTAGAGGTTTCATGAGATTGAATCAGGCCTTGTCTCCCAGAGCTTACCCTCAGTACTTGAACTTAGGGCCTGACACCAGGTAAGCACTTAATGAATGTAGAAATATGAAGACACAAGTGCATGGAAATGCAGATGAGATACCAATGGTAGCAAAACGGTCTGTCCCCAAAGAAGCGTCATAGGGCAATGTCACCACCTAGGGCCCTACCAGTCCTGAGAGTGGCTCTCAGCTTTCCAGTCCCAGAAACTACCAGCAGAACCATCTGTCACAGGGAATATTACAGTTAAGCAGATCTCAGAGACTAGGAATAACAAGAGAGTGAGATGTATGCTGCTGTCACACTAACCAAATACAGGGGTTGTTATGAAGAGTGCATTCTCTCCCCAGTGACACCATCTCCACAGTCATGGCTGACCTGCTAGCAGAGTCTTGTGCAAGCACAGAACTTAAAACAGGCTCTGGAGTCTTCTTTGACCATCTCCCACCCTGACTGGCACATGTCTTTATTAAAAACATTAATTTCTTTAATCAAATTGCAGTCAAATCTTGTTGGCCTAGAAGCCATTTAGTCTCTTTAAGAAAATTTTGCATTTCTCTACAGGCTTTGTAAAATATTGAAAGGTTTTAAAGTTTTCATTTTTAAAAGTTTACTTCCCTGAAGATAATCCCTTTTCCCTTATTTCTGAATTTGGGGTGTTAAGTGAATGCTTCACTGTAATTTCCAGGCACTACAACCAATTGTTTTAAATGAACACTTAAATGGATTTACCTTGCTGCTTGCCTAACGTGAACACCTATTAAAATTCCTTCCTCTGTATAGTTTCTTCTTTGCCACTCTTTAGTACTAAAGGAAGTTTTTCTAAGTTTCCTTCAAGTTAACTTGACTACTAGATTCAGGTGAAAAATTCTCAACATGAATGACCTCATCTAGAAAACTTAAAGTGGAGGCTCAGAAGGAATGGCCTGCAGACTCGTTTCTCATTCGCCTGTTAAATATTTCTAGAAACTTGAAGCGGGTCCCCCAGTTATTTTCACATAAAAATTATTGAGTTCTACTTTTTCTTAAAAGATATTAAAATGGTGGCAATATTGCCCCCACCTTCTTGCACTGCAAGAATCAGTTGGAGAGCAAAAAACGACATGTATACAATCACCCAGGAAATAACACAGATGCCCTCCAGTGAGTCAGATGTACTGTGGTGGGTCCACA